GTGATAGGTAAAAATTGATTAGGACAAAGTACTTATCATAATCTAGTTAGTTTATTATCAGAATAGAATTATATTAATCTTAATCGCTATCTGCATTAATAACCACGTTGACATTATCTCATGAAAATATATCAGATAAGATTTATGCTGGACGTGCTATTTGGGAAAGATATCTGGCATGGCATCATGAGACAAATATACTAAGTGACATATAAATCCGAACACCCAGTTTAAATGGTTTTATTTTAATAAAATTTTGTATAAGTACTTAATGAAGCATAATAAGTAAATGATAAAAATTTCAAAATGATTGCACTGCTTTAAAGCCCTTTGACCTTTAATAATGTGTGGATGTACCCTGATGTGATACGCATTCTCCAACGCGCCTAGGCATGCTTCTGATCAGGTGGTCAATGTCCTCCTGTGGTATCTCATTCCAGGCAACCACCAACTCCTCTCGAAGTGCTTCTAGAGTCTGAGGAGGACGTTGCAAATTGAGCAATCTCCTACCCATCATATCCCACACGTGCTCAATTGGGGATAAGTCGGGAGATCTTGGTGGCCATGGTAACAATGTGACATCATTGTGTTGAAAGAAGTCTATTGTGACTCTTGCAACGTGTGGTCGGGCATTATCTTGTTGGAAAGTTGGATCTGCCAGGGTGTCAAGATAGGGTAAAAGAAGGGTTTCTAGAACTTCGTGGATATAACGCTGTGCGTACATGTTACCTCTGATGAAGATTAAAGATGACCTGGAACCATAAGCTATAGCACCCCAAACCATTACTCCAACAGTGTGATGAACATGTCTTTCAACAAAAATCTGTGGATTCCTCCTTTCACCACGTCGCCTTCTAACCCTGGCACGACCATCGTGCATGCCTAAACAAAATCGAGACTCCTCACTAAAGACAATACTGTTGCATTCCTGATCCCAGAGTGACCGTTGTCTGCACCACTCAAGGCGATTACGTCGGTGTTCTCGAGTTAAAGGGAGGACCCAGTGTGGCCGGTATGAAAACAAGCCAAAACTTCTCGTTCGTCGGTAAACACTTCGCATGCCAATAGGTCTTCCGTGTTCTGCAATCTATTCATTTGCAATGGACCTGGTAGTGGAGAAACGGTCCCTTAAGGCCAATAATCTTAGGCGGCGATCTTTACGGTCTGTTGTTCTACGGCGGCGTCCAGTGCCCCTTGCTCTTTGCGTACGGCCTTCTCGAAGCCATGCCTGACAACACCTAACCACAGTGTCTACACTTCTTTGCACTCTAACTGCAATTGCCCGAAAAGAAAGTCCAGCTTCCCGAAGTCCCACTATACGGCCCCTATCAAACTCACTAAGTTGACGAAATCGTACAGATCTCCGTACTCTAGGCATCGTAACCAATCGTAATGGATGTCAAGAACCAAAATCCGCCAACGTCGATTTTTAACTGCGGCTGAAATATTCATTTTTAGAGCGTTAGTGAATTAAAAAAAAGCAGTATAAAAACCGGAATGTCCAACTGATAAGGCTGAAAATTTTTTCACTTGTTATTTACAGTAAGGTAAATACATTCACCAACTTTTATTAAAATAAAACCATTTAAACTGGGTGTTCGGATTTATATGTCACTTAGTATAATATACGACTGCAGCTACCTGTATATGCCAACCATCCTGATGCCACTAGGGCAATCGCAGCAATAGCGGTGTATACTTTCAATTTCAGTAATCTTCTACCGCTGCGCCATCGGGCTTTGCTCCTCAGGGCTCTCCTCCATGATGTGTTGTGTCGAACTTCGTGCGTCCAGAACTGGCCGATACGACCGCTCCTTTGTCCCTAGAGTATCGAGATTGTGGAACAATCTACATGAGGAAGCTTTTCCCAGTTCTAAGAACTTTGGGCAGTTCTTAAATCGGAATAACAAAGTTTATTTAAGCTCCCCATATCAGCAGCGGTGCACTGCCATTTAGACTTCTGCCTGCGTGGCTGCTTTGGTGTTAAAAAGGCACATAAGCAATGTAGATGTGATAAGTTTTACTGTTGATATGTCTTGAACTTACTTCCAGTTTTAATACGTTAGGGGTACTTTCAACTTCGTCCATTACCTCCGCTAAATAGGATACAGCTTGTGAAAGTTGATACGAGTCAGGAGTTGTTGCTTGCTCAACTAAGGGAAATCTAATACTTCTGACGATGTTAGCTGTTGGAAAGTAGACTTTCCTATTTTCAATTTTCGTCTTATGACTTCATCAGTCAGAGTATTTACAACATTCATCCGACTCTTCATGTACTCAATAGTGTCGTCGTTAATTACTTCTCTAGATTTACATCTTTTGCTTTATTTGTTTTTTAAAAATCCAACAATTTCGCAAAGTTTTTTAACTTTAGGAAATACTTGTTATCCAACGAGTTGTGCAAAACTATCATTTTCAGGATTAGAAATCTGACACACATAATCATCATCTTCATTCGTATCTGTGGATTCAATGTCGATAAGACCAATTTGAGGATCGTCCACAGTGGAGATCGACACTGAAGCAGACTTCGCGGTTCTAACAGGTTGCTTATAATTTTTGAGTCGCCATCCATCTCGTATGACTTATTGAGATTTTATTAAAAGAATATATACTAAATGACATATAAATCCGAACACCCAGTTTAAATGGTTTTATTTTAATAAAAGTCGGTGAATGTATTTTTATCTTACTGTAAATAACAAGTGAAAAAATTTTCAGCCCTATCAGTTGGACATTCCGGTTTTTATACTGCTTTTTTTTAATTCACTAACGCTCTAAAAATGAATATTTCAGCCGCAGTAAAGAATCAACGTTGGCGGATTTTGGTTCTTGACATCCTTTACGATCGGTTACGATGCCTAGAGTACGGAGACCCGTACGATTTCGTCAACTTAGTGAGTTTGATAGGGGCCTTATAGTGGGACTTCGGGAAACTGGACTTTCTTTTCGGGCAATTGCAGTTAGAGTGCAAAGAAGTGTAGACACTGTGGTTAGGTGTTGTCAGGCATGGCTTCGAGAAGGCCGTACGCAAAGAGCAAGGGGCACTGGACGCCGCCGTAGAACAACAGACCGTGAAGATCGCCGCCTAAGATTATTGGCCTTAAGGGACCGTTTCTCCACTACCAGGTCCATTGCAAATGAATGGTTTGCAGAAGATGGAAGACCTATTGGCATGCTAAGTGTTTACCGACGAATGAGAAGTTTTGGCTTGTTTTCATACCGGCCACACTGGGTCCTCCCTTTAACTCGAGAACACCGACGTAATCGCCTTGAGAGGTGCAGACAACGGTCACTCTGGGATCAGGAATGGAACAGTATTGTCTTTAGTGACGAGTCTCGATTTTGTTTAGGCATGCACGATGGTCGTGCCAGGGTTAGAAGGCGACGTGGTGAAAGGAGGAAGCCACAGTTTTTTGTTGAAAGACATGTTCATCACACTGTTGGAGTTATGGTTTGGGGTGCTATAGCTTATGGTTCCAGGTCACCTTTAATCTTCATCAGAGGTAACATGAACGCGCAGCGTTATATCCACGAAGTTCTAGAACCCCATCTTTTACTCTATCTCGACACCCTGGCAGATCCAGCTTTCCAACAAGATAATACCCGACCATATGTTGCAAGAGTCACAATAGACTTCTTTCAACATAATGATGTCACATTGTTACCATGGCCACCAAGATCTCCCGACTTATCCCCAATTGAGCACGTGTGGGATATGATGGGTAGGAGATTGCTCAATTTGCAACGTCCTCCTCAGACTCTAGAAGCACTTCGAGAGGACTTGGTGGTTGCCTGGAATGAGATACCACAGGAGGACATTGACCACCTGATCAGAAGCATGCCTAGGCGCGTTGAAGAATGCGTAGCACATCAGGGTGCATCCACACATTATTAAAGGTCAAAGGGCTTTAAAGCAGTGCAATCATTTTGAAATTTTTATCATTTACTTATTATGCTTCATTAAGTACTTATACAAAATTTTATCAAAATAAAACCATTTAAACTGGGTGTTCGGATTTATATGTCATAATGTATTTAAACTTATTGTTTTCCTCAACAACTTATTACAGTTATTAAGTGTACCTAACATATTTTACTCACAATAGCTAAACACAGTCACTTTGTTTATAGAAAACATAAAATATTCACTGAAACAATTCTCACACAATGTTAGTCGTGTAACTAAACAAGAAGCTGATAAGAATCCTATAACAAGCGTAAACGCAACTTATTACATGTGTTACTGATTCAAGATAGGTACCATATTACTCGTACAATATATCCCTAAAATACCGTAAATACTCGTAGAGGTTCGAGACAGCCATGACATTGTTTGCACATTGATAGGATTTTTTATAACAAAGCTTATTTGTATACTGTTTCTCTACGTAATAAAAAAATGTATCTAAATCCTAACATAATTACAATACTGAAAAAGCTTCTCATCTCATTCTCTGTTCTGTTGATTCATACAAATTTGGCTTCCAGAGAGATTGTTGGAAATTCTCAGCTAAGTTGATATTGTACATTGTACATGTAGTTCGTTTAGCAGACCCTGTAAAAAAATTCAAGCCAAGGGGTCGGTTTGTCGACCTCTCAGTTGCTGTCAAAGTGTCGCTCAGGTAAAAAAACAGTCCTATAGAGAGATTTTGTGGGAAGTGAATATCCGACAGATCCTTTTTTAGGTACATATGTGCCATTCAGTGATAGTGGGTATGGTTTTATAACTTCTCGGACTCAATTCGAAAAAAAAAAATGATGTGAGACAAGCAAAGTAGGAAACTATAAACACGTAGCTTCCTAATTGTGTATTAGTTTACTGTCTTCGCCATATGTCTTTCTGCAGTTTGTAGCCATACTGTATCTGTGCTAGAATATCAAATCATAAGCTTGCGAATATATGTTTGTAAGTAGCATAGATCGATGTGAAAACTTTCATTTATGTCTGGCACATCGTTTGTACAGTTACTTCCCCACTTACGAAAAAAGAAACTCACTTTAATCTTCTCGTATGTAGTGTCCAATTCCAGTCTGTGCACGAAGGGGTTGAGTAAAACTTCCGGCGTGTACTCCTCATGGGAGATACCTCCAGTAAACTTCGTCTTAGTTTTTGTCTGGCTCATGATTCCTTTCTTGGATTCAACACTTCACATGCTTTTCGCGGCACCGCGTTTTGATCTATATGTCGGTCTGTTTGGGTGTTTGTGCGCGATCGAGAGACGCTCGCGTTCGACTGAGCGTCGGCGTCTTCAGCGTCGCGAGTGAGAGTATCGTGTACGGGGGGAGAGTGAAATCGTTGGATTAATTGCAGAAATGTCCATGCTTACTTTGATCATTGATCAGCGTATTCTACCTGAAGATAGCGAACCATATAATGAATGCCGGCGTCCAAAAATGCATCTAGAAGATACTAGCGCCATCTATAAGATAGTAGCAGAATACACAAAAATGAACTTAGAAATATACTTTGAAAAGGGGTAAGAGTGTGTGATTCTACTACTGTGTCATATACGTAGATGTCGCTAGTACCTCTCAGATCCCTTTTCAAAAAAAGTTTTGTAGTTTCTGAAAATTGGTCCAGTGGCGGCGGAGAACAATTCCAAAAACGAAAAATATAAAAATCGCTAAAACTTGTTTTATTGACGTTTCCGATGCTCCTGATAATTTTCGGCGCCAAAGATAATAAGCCCGCCACTGACTGCAACTTTTTTCACTGAAGAATTATATATTATGTATCTGCTTTAAATATATTCTGTATTTTTGCTTTTGATAATAAAATCTAAAAAAAAAAGATGATTGACAATCTTTACTGAGAGGACCGAATTTGAAACCTAATTTTCAATGTTTTTAAAATCCTGCTTTAATAATAATTTTCAACCAAATATCTGATGCCCAACATGAAGAAGTAAAATTTCAAGCCATTTGCAAGGGTTCAGGTGCTTCGCAATTGACACTCCATTTTTAAATACTCTTGAATGAAATTTATACAGTATGTTCAGAAAACAGTTGCCCAGGGTGCTACCAATGCAGTTTTTAAAATTAGTTTTTCGCACAAGATTTATGGTGATTTGAAATGGTCAATCTTTTTGTTCAAATTCTCAATTTTTTTAAGAAGTGCCTTGTGGAAAAAATGAAAAGTAGCCCCATAGCACCTTTTGTGGGATTTGGTTTCAGCACACTGTTAAAATGTCATTTCAAAACAATAAACAATGAAACGTCGGTTGCGAAACGCGAAAACCTCTACAAATCGGACTTTGTCTAATGTTTCGTGCTGCCAGCCCAAGCCACGCGGCGCTATGCACGGCCTTAGAAAGGACGTATTCAGAGAATTTGATGGCCCTATTTCATAGAATATCGTGTATATAAGTCGTTCTGAAAATACGTAGGGTAAATCGAAGTTTTATGGCCATAGAGGAGAGATGGCCCAACTCGATATTTTCCTAAGTAGTTATTAGAGAGCGTTTTTTTCAATAAGGAGTAATGTACTGTTGTGTGATCGCGCTATACTAGAAACTCTGAGTCAATTAACTAAGTTTAAAGGCAAGTTATTTTAAAATTACTGTTTACATGGGTTCAATAGTTTTTGAATACAATTTTCCACTAGCCAGATTTCATAAAATTTTATTAGTTTTTAACAATCCGTCTGGTGTTTATTTTACCATGTGTGGTGTGTTTTATGTTGCCTAAGCGTTTTACGCTAATTAACGTATATAAAATCTAAATCATGCTATGGCCATCTTTCCTCGAAGAAAAGGAGAGATGGCCCACTTATTTCCTATATAAGATGACCATTGTAGATCATTTGTATTTATTTTAGATGCCACATATTTATAAAAGAAAATCATTGGAGAGGGCCAAATGGACCGAGGAGCAACTGAAATCTGCAATGAATACTGTTAAATATATATATATAATATATTTTATTAATGCGTATCCGACATCAATGTCTGTCAACTAACTGCAATAAGATGCGTATGTACCGCGTAATCGCCGGTATGACCAAGAATTCATATAATGCAAGAGACTTAAGCACCGTATCATTGGACGTAAGTACCAAACGATGCCAGTAAAAGGTCGTAAGCGACATAAAATATGCGTTTTTTGAATTTTGGAGAGATCTCCAATACTATTTGATATATTAGATCATTTCTATCGCTATTATAGACATAATATATAATCTTTAACAGGGTATTTAAGTGCTTTGAGTCCAAAATAAACGGTTTTCTACCTCTCCTGTAAAATTTTGTGAATGGCGCTTACGTCGTTCTATCAGATCACCATCGATATATATATATATATATATATATATATACAGGGTGACTTCGAAGTTGAGTCATTTATTTTAACAGTGAGTAGATCTGATCAAAAGAAATGTTTTTTTCCTTTACCATTTTTCTGGTAAAATTAAAGTAACAAAGTTATAGCCCTTTGGAAGTTTGAGTACCGCCCTGCCAATGCTCGTGTTTGGCGACAACGGATATAATCCGCTTGACCGGTTCATCGCATCGGAAACAAAAAAGCGAAAGAATTTGAAACGTTTATCACGATGTTTTTCGTCAGTCGATAACGCGTAAGTGAATAGTAGTGTGTTGCGTGGCTCAAACGAAATCAAAAATGGCACATGTATACGAAAATGCTGAACTTGTGGACATGATTCTTATTTACGGGGGGGCAGTCTTTACAAAATGCTCCCGGATGCATCACGGATTTATGCGAATCGGTTTCCCAATCGAGTGCAACCAACCCCTCGTGCCTTTGTTAATGTAGTGCAAAGGGCTCGTGAATCAGGTGACTTAAGACCTCACAGGTGAGGGCATGCTGCTCCAAGACCGCACGATCAAATACAGGTCCGCACTGAAATACTTGTCGGGAGGATACTTTATTAAACAAGGTAACTTTTTTTTTTATTTTTTTTTTATTTTTACACACATATTTTGGTTTATCTTCCTTCTACAATCATTATCTGAAAATTAATGACTCAACTTCAAAGTCACCCAGTATATATATATAACTTGAGACGTGGTCTCATCTAATAACTCTCTTCTCACGATTTATTAATAATTGTTAATTTAAAATTCCCATTAATTAAAATATAGTTTATTCAACTGCCTCTGGTCGGTTTAACAATTTCTTACATAACATTCTGAAAATCACATCATCTGAAGTGATTTGGCAACGTTTTGGCACACGCCCACAATTCGTTCCATCTTTCAACACAGACATTGACAACCTTCGGCCTTCTGTCAAAGGTTCATCTCACTCATTATTCCATGACCACCATTTTGTGCAATCATCAAGTGGCTTCACGACGTAATGCTCTAATGATTTCTAAATAATTTTTAATCTGTCTTTAACTTGTCTTGTCATATTCTATATAATTTTAACCATTGTACCATGTATCCAGCTCTCACCATGTTACTGGACGTTTCCCTCATCCTATACGAAAACAACAATTAGCAACATCCTCACATACTACTGTAAGTTGATTCAATTTAAATTCATTTTACACTTTTGTTGCTACTGTTATCATTGTAATTGCAACTCCTGATGATGATGATTGAAAGCTAGAGAGAAATAAAAAAAGTATAAAGCGTCCTCTTTGCCTAAATTTTATCGAAGTACCCAACAAAAGGCGGAAGCTTTAATTTTTCACCTATATACATTTTATATATATATATATAATATTGTTCTTGAACTATTACCATGTTTTTCTATAAAAAATATGTTGTTTTGTCCTTTTTGTGTAGTGGTTTATAGTTAATTCACTAAGTTAGTTAGTTTTTTAATGTAAGTTACTTTTTTGGCAAAAGGATTGGCTATTGAGTTTTTAGTTTTTTTTCTGTTATATGTAATAATACAGTCTCATAGGTATTTCACGAGTATTCTTATAAAACCCATTATTGTCATTAAATTTTATATGGCCATCTCACCTTCTATGATATGGTCATCTCTACTAAACACTGTAGGAGAGATGGCCCACATATAAAAAATACCGATATTTATCAACAAAATGAAAAACCATATTTATAATAAATTTGCACAGAGCAACAAATAATAATTACCATGCCCTACCCTAAAATATTATATTTTTTGTTACAACCCAATTATTAAAATTATTACAGACGATTAAAAAAATATGGCCATCTTTCCTCGGTTTACCCTATTCATAATTGCGATCGTTGATGGGAAATGAATATTCGGAACTAGTTACGTAAATGTAAGAGGAAACTTCTACCTACTTTTTGCATTTTTTGAATCGGCAACAAAAGGGTATCCCGTTTTGGGAACTTTTTTGTTCCTTTGCCACTTTTGTCAAAGGCATTTCCGTCTTTTGAACCGATGAGTATTCCTCGACGTCCTCTCGTAACTCAGAGAGAGTTGTTGACGGCGAGCCCTCTCTCCTCTCTTCGCCCAAAGCACCGAATCGTTAATTTCACTCGTGCGTACTTACTGCACACACACAGCAGATCGGCCGATGGCCTATCGGGGTGCAATATGAATGGTGTGGGAATTTCGCCAATAATCCAAAACGAATATTGAATCATCATAAGAAAATAGATTTTTTTCTCGCATCATATAGTTCACATTGTTATTATACGTGATTTAAACATTACATAAATATGACGAAAAATACATATAAAATATCCACATCCTAAGTATATTCTTTCTGGACCATCCTGATAAGTTTGATATTCAATATTTATGTCTGACCGTTACGAAAACGTAGGATTATTTCAGTACCAAAATCCAAAGACTGATGGAAGCTAAACTACGAAAGCGAACTGAAATAATGCCAAAAGCGAGCCATGGATTTCTAGGTTAGTCTATAGAAAATCCGTAGTCCGTACCTGTAGCCTGCATTACTAGTTGTATAAGCAACAGTATACGGCCGAGAGTGCCATCTCTTAGGGACACGGATATCTAAAGTTTGTCTATTTAAATACGGAAAAGGAAACTGCACAAATAGACATAATTGTATTCTTACTTCCAATAATAGTTTATTTTGTTTGTGGAAGATGGCGGGGCAAGAAATTGTAAGCCGGGTTGCCTAAATTTAATGAGCACATGTGATTTTGAGGTTAATTAAATACAGAGAAAAATCAAAATAGAACAAATACCGGCCTTTTTTAAATACTTGATTAGTTCAAGTCTTCTGTTCGAGGAAACAAATAGGAAATGCTAAAAATGTCAGTCAATGATCCTGAGGCTGTGTCTGCATTTTCGGTTTACATGAAAAAGAAATCAAAATCTGCAAAGAATCAGGTATCTGTATCTAACAAGAAACACAAGAATCAGAACTTGAACGTGGGTAGTCCCAATCTGAAGCCCTCTAATGGAACTCAAAGTCTGCTTAAAAAACAGAAAAACGTTACTAATATCGATAATATCAAGCAAGATCATAAAGCGACGAACGGTACATCAAGGAAACGAAAAGTCGAGGCTGACATCAAACAAAAACTAAAAAAGAAAAAGATTAGTGATAGTATTGGGGTACCCAAGAAAAAGAAAAATAAACTTGTTACAGACATGAATAGTGAAAAGAATTTGTTGAAGAAGAAAAAGAAAAAATCAGTTACTAACACAGATAGCGATGAAGAACCTCCATTGCTTGTACCTATCACGAGACACAGCATTTCCCGCCAAATTCCAAAAACTAACGAAGTTGAAGACATGAAAAAGTTGATATCTGAAATCAACAAAACGGATCCTTCCCCAGAAGGGTACAAGGTATTCAAATGGCTCATTGAGCCTATGAAACCAAAAGAATTCCTTGAACGATATTGGGAAAGTCAGGTCCTACACATACAAAGACACAATGGAAACTATTATCGTGATGTTTTAACCACCGAAAGACTTGATGATATCTTTAGAGAGTTTCCTTTACAATATACAAAGAACGTAGATGTGGTGACATTTGAAAATGGAGTCAAAGAGGTATGCCTTTTATTTTCTGTTGTTTATGCTTAAATATGTACTATGATGGTCTTTTCATCATTTTTGGCATGTCTCAGTAAGACTGCAAGAATTACTTTCATACGATAGGTACCTCCGTTTATCATGGGTGTGTGATTTATGTTTACATCTTGTTCTTCAATATAAAACAGCAGCACTTGAAGATTCAGTTAGAATATGGACAGTCTGTTATTTATTTATTTAATTCAGGTTATTGAAAACAAAGGTCCTCTATCAGCCAATTCATGTGTGTGCAAGAGTGAGTAGCTGTTACATTGAGGATCATTTTACAGTTGTCACAACTAAAAAAAAATGCTGAAAAGAACTGCAGGCTTGCTATATAAACCTGAAAGGCTTTGGCTTATGCTTCAGTCTCAGTCTAGCTTTGCACATCAAAGAGTGGACATTTTTTTCAGTTAGAAAAAGGTTTTTTGTCAATTCTATTAATCATAATGATTTCAACATCCATATGAACTGCTTGAATATAAAAAAAGTTTATTAGTTCACCAATAATCTTTTTGGAAATAGGTTCACAATGAAGAAGGTAGAGTAGTCCCAGCAGCACTCTATGACTATTATCTAAATGGCTGTAGCATCAGAGTTCTGAACCCTCACACGTATGACCAGAGAGTTTATGCAGTTCTAGCTGCTCTACAAGAATACTTTGGGTGTATGGCAGGAGCTAACGTTTACTTGACACCCCCTGGAAGTCAGGGCTTTGCACCACATTATGATGATATTGAGGCATTTGTGATACAGTTGGAGGGGAGGAAGCATTGGAAATTGTATAAACCAAAGTATGTGGAGGCAATTTGTTGTCTTAAGTTTTTTTGGAAAAATTTGAGCTAGCTAGCATAAGGAAAATAATGTATAAGTCTTCGCGTGTATTTATACCTCAGTATTATACAGGGTGACAGGTAAATAGGTGTAAAACATTTTAGGAGGTGATAGTACAGCTCCTTTGCGATCAAAATTAGTATGTGATACCATACCCTATATTCAAAGGTTAAAAAGTTATGGAAGATTTAATTTTTTTTAGAAAACAACCCAGATTACAGAGTAAAATAGTTGAGATAAAACAAAGTTGGTGATTAAACATTCTTTTTTTGGTGGTTTCAGGTTATTATTTAAATAAATAATTCTCATAAATTAAAAAAACATATGAAAACACTACTGAAAACGTATTTATTTTCATTTAAATGTTAAATGAAAATTTTTATTTTCAACTTTCACATTAAGAAGTCTTTTTTTTTTCAAAAAAATCATAATAAAGAAAATGTACAAATAACTGCAAAAACTTCCTCGTTTCATTAGGTTTCTAAAATGGTATAATAACATATCCGCAAGTAAACCATTTAACAAAACAATATTACTTTGCTAGAAAGGACCGTACTGAGCAGGTAAACCGAGCCTTTCATGGTTTGACCCTTCTTGTTATTTTTTGTGCCCTGTGCCATTATTCGGGTTTAAGTATTCGGAATCTGTCGTCGCTCATCGGAAGCAAGCTCTGCGTGTGTTATGAATTGACACAGCTGACGGATCAAGGAAAGGGAACTAACGCTTAGGTTAGTTAGTAGTATATCAACCTTTAACGCGGTAGGACGTACTTTTACTTTTTTGATTAGTTTTAATAATGGCGAGTTACCGTACCGAAGAATACGGTGATATTTTGATTTGTTATGGTTTAAGTGATGGAAATTCAGTTGAAGCCAGGCGAGAATACGAAAACCGTTTTCCAAATCGGCGAATACCGAGTCATCGAGTATTTGCTTCTGTGTACCAACGCGTCAAGGAAAGTGGACAGGTTCATGAGAGACGTCATGATGCTGGTAGACCTCGTTTGTTTGACGAGGCAATACTGGAATGCTACGGCAGACACCGACGACGTCTACACGAGTTATAGCAAAGCAGCTTGGTTTAACTCAGTGGAAAGTTTGGTTCGTTTTGCATTCGGCGAGACTTTACCCTTTCCATTACACACCGGTTCAAGTATTAGAAGAAGGAGATCCCGCAAGAAAAATTGATTTTTGTCGATACATGCTTCATCGGGATCAAGAAGAAAACGACTATTTAACTGAAATATTGTGGACCGACGAGTTTGACAGAGAGGGGACAACAAATTATCACAACTTAGATTATTGGGCCCCACGAGAGTCAAATCCCCACATGGCAAAGCCAAGAGCCCATCAAAGAAGATTTTCGGCAAACGTGTGGATGGGAAACATTCATACGTATCTAATTGGACCAGTTTTCTTGCCTGACAACCTGAATGGAGAATCCTATGAAAACTTTTTGAGATCCGAACTCTGGGAGTATCTCGAAGACCTGCCTCTGAATATCAGGATGTATTATTATGTACAATTACAACTGTGTAAATAATCTAATCGTGTAACTTAACCGTAGTTTAAAATAATAACTATCCCATAGCTTACAGTTACATTATTTTCACAAAAACACTTTCTTATCAATCAGAGAGTTGTGAAAATAGGAGACAAGCCATTGGTAAATTTACTCCCTATTGTTGTATTACAATGCATTATGTTTAGTTTCACACAGTTTTTGTGCACTTATCATACCAATTTAGATTCCTTATGAAACAAGGATATTATTTAAATTGTTTGTACGTTTTTTTGTATACTGATTTTTTTGTAAAACATCTTACTTACTGTAAAACGTTATTTGTTTTTCTTAGTTAAACATTTTTGAATGAAAATAAATACGTTGTTTGGTATTGTTTTCGAATCTTTTTTAATTTATAATAGTTAATTATTGAAATAATAACCCAAAACCACAAAAAACAAATGTTTAATCGCCAACTGTTTTTCTCTCTCGACTTTTTTACTCTGAAATATGGATTGTTTTTAAAAAAAATCTTAAATCTTCAATAACTTTTCAACCTTTGAATATAGGGTATGGTATTATATACTAATTTCGATAGCAAAGAGGCTGTACTATCACCTCCTAAAATGTTTTACACCTATTTACCTGCCATCCTGTATGCTACTTATTTCAACCATCAGCATATTTTATTCAAGTCCAAATGACTAATGCACATTTTATTATGCAAACATAGGAGTCAAGCTGGACGTTATCATTATTTTGATCTGTGTTTTCTAGGGGCAGTGGTGTGTTAGCAAGGTATTCAAGTCCAAATTTAAAATACGAGGAATTAGGCAAGCCTTTTATGGAGGTGACTTTGAATGCTGGTGATATGCTGTATTTCCCTAGAGGTAACAAAACTAGTGATTGATATACACGGCAAACATTTACAATTTTTGTCTTAGGCACAATACATGAAGGAAGGACAGACGAGGACTCACATTCTTTCCATATAACTATTTCTGTCTATCAACACAACTCTTATGCAGATCTTTTAGAAAATGTTTTGCCAGATGCTCTGAAAAAAGCTGCACAAGAAAATATTGAATTTAGGTATGCGTTTACTTTGTTTTAAACCCTTTTAAATTTTTACATGTTAAAATCAAAAAAGAATCAATATGAACCTTTCAAAGGCAGGGTCTACCACTGAACTTCCTGAAGCACCTTGGTTATGTAAATAAGGAAAAATCCTCTGAAGTAAGGCAAACTGTTGTGAATCATGTAAAGAGTTTGATGAAAATCCTGGCCAAATATGTGGATGTAGACGAGGGAGCAGACAAGCTAGGGAGAAAGTTCATGTATGATTCATTACCTCCAGTTTTGTCTAAACCTGAGGCACGATATACTTCCAAGTATGATGGGGACTTTATGAGAGATGGGAAAATACTTAACAGGTCAGTACGAAGGACTAAAAGAATGTATTTCTTGTTGAAGATCCTTTAGAAGCTTAGATATATTTTTTCTTCTTAGGGTAGAGATCGGTATGGATACAGAAGTACGCCTCGTTAGATATCATAGTATCAGAGTGGTTATAGAAGATTGTCCGAAGATTTACTATAATCTTGATAATGCAAGGGTGTATCATGGAGAAGAAGAACAATCTTTGATGATAGACGAAGAATTGCTGCCATGTGTCACGGTAAGTTTGCAATTTCTATTCAATGTCTAACGTACAGGGTGCAGAAGCACAATTTCCTTGTTATTTTAAAATTTAATAAAACCCATTTTATATATATCAGAACATTTTTCTTTGTTTCAACGGCGCGCATTCCAAAAAAGAAGTTATGCTGACGCACCCTGTATTATAATTATTTATAACCTTTTATTTGATACTTCTTTGAAATAATTTTTCTCCTGGATGATCTTTTTTGTTTTCGTCAATGTAGCTAAAGAGTTGTCCAATAGGGACGCAGGAAAGTAAACGTCAATTTGACATAGACGCCATCTTTGTTTTCTGTCACCGACATGTCATTTTGTTAGTTCAATGTTTACCATTGATCGCTATGGAGTCGTATTCGATTGAAGACCGCATTAAAGTTATCCAAGAGCAACTACAAAAATGGTGCAAAAATAAAAAACACGTTTCGCGCGCTTCGTGAACACTTCGGTCGCAACAACCGCCCAGACGAAACAACCATCGGTCGTCTGGTGCGTAAATTCGAGGCAACAGGTTCTGTGGCAAATCCGCCAGGCTCTGGCCGGCCAAGGAGCGTTCGCACACCAGAAAATATTGCTGTTGTGAAGGAGAGTGTGAGAGACGATCCGAAACAATCAACAACGCGTCGATCCCAAGAATTGGGCATTTGGAGAACCAGTTTGCTCCGCATTCTCCACAAGGATTTGAATGTACACGCCTACAAGATCCAATTGACGCAAGAGCTGCGTCGGACCGACCATTTTTCGCACCGAACGTTCTCAGATTGGCTCCTTGAACACCGCCAAATTGATGACAATTTTTCATCAAAAATCATGTTCAGCGACGAAGCGCATTTCACTTTGAATGGGACGGTAAACAAGCAAAACTGCCGCATCTGGGCGAACGAAAATCCCCGTGAGTATCAAGAGCAGCCGATGCATCCTCAAAAAGTGACTGTGTTGTGTGCATTGTGGTCAAAAAGCATCATCGGACCTTACTTTTTCGAAAATGCTGCCGGGGACGCCGTTACCGTCAATTCTGAGCGATATCACGTGATGATAGAGGACTATTTTTTGCCGCAACTTGAAGGAATGGATATGGACGATGTTTATTTCCAACAAGACGGTGCAACATGCCACACAACCAACGTCAATATCCATCGATTGCAGTCCTTCTTCGGTGATCGCGTGATTTCGCGGAGAGGAAATATGCCATGGCCACCAAGATCGTGCGATTTGACTCCCTTGGACTTCTTTTTATGGGGATATTTGAAAAGCAAAGTCTACGTCAACAAACCAGCCACCCTCCAAGAACTCAAAAACAACATCATTGCCGAGATAAATGCCATAGAACCGACCATTTTGCAAAATGTCATTGAAAATTTCGACCATCGCGTGGACGTCTGTAAATCCAGTCGTGGTAAACATTTGAGCGATATTATTTTTCATACATAAATGGTATAAATGAACCTTCAAAATAGAGTACCCAACTTGATTTGAATATCAATCTTTCTTGTTTTAATATGCGTTTACTTTCCTGCGTCCGTTTTGGACAACCCCATCACGGTATAATGACAGCTGATTATCCAGTAATATCTCAAAATTCCCCATATCGGTACAGGACACATGATTTAGACAGATCCCTCAACGTCAGATAGTCAGAGTCGTATTTTGATTTGGTTTTTTTTACGCTACATATTCATTTTGTACCTGATAACAACTTTTTTATTTAGAAAAGATGCGACAAACATGTTTTACTAGATTTACACCCGATTCATGATTGCCAACGTCGCAGACTAACACAAAAATTTCACTTTACCTCAGTAGACGTCAAACGTGATGGATACTCGTGAAATAGGGTATAATTTTGATTTTAGTTTCGTCAATGTAGGTTATGGGCCCAGTATGCTTGGTTCCACATGTTTTACTGCAACCTTCACTGTTGAGCTTTGGAAGAAATGCAATTTTTTTGTTCTGACAAGCAAATGCAGGTGGCGTTTTCGTTACAGGCGCTCCAGAACCACTATCCAAAGTTTTTGAAAGTAGATGATCTACCAGGGGAAGACCACCTTGCTAAAGCCCGTCTGGTATCCGACTTTTGGGAGAAGGGTTTGTTGGTGACAAATGGGCCTTTGGAGCCAGTTGGTGATGACGGCGGTAGTACGACTGAAGATGAAGGAAGTGATGAAGAATGTGATACAATTTCTTTGTAATATTTTAGGAACGGTTCCTTTTATGAGAATAAAAATAATGTTATAAGCTATATATTTGTTTCAATGTCTTCCTTCTGGTCTTACTAGGACAGGAATGTATGATCCAACGTATTGACAAACAAAAATTTGAAATAACGCATCCCAAAATACTTGCAAAACAGATTTACCAGGAACTCCAAGCTCACAACTTGTAGGTGTCCCTACTTGACGTCTGCGTTATGAAAATGGTGGATGAAGGCATGTTATACAAAAATGGTGGCTAGTAGATGCCGTCCTACCTCTAAAAAAAAATGGTGGGTGTGGTTTAATTTAAGAAAAACATTATTACATAATGGAAGATGGACCTTCTTTGCATTACTGTTTAAACCGATGGCATGTCTTCATCATGAGGATATGCAAAGATACCCCTTAGCTCAAGGCCGTATCGCGTTCCTATAATTGTAGGACGCCTTTGAGGCCTACTTGATTTTCATAGTTTTCTACTTTCCTCTATTTTGAGTTTACGTCATCTATTTTTATCAAATTGTTCATGCTCTTGGTTTATACTGTTTTATCAGCTTGAAATTTCCTACATTTCAAAAAGAAAATAATTTCACAATAGGAGAGCAATGACGCTGGAAAAACAGGAGAAAAAGAAAATTGTTTGGTTAGAAACATGTAAATAATATGTCCTCCTCGAGATGGCGCAGCAAACAATATGGCAACTATTACCACAGATTGCCGTAATACTAGTTGCATGAATCATGAGTTGTTTAGTTAATGGTGTCGTCTATAGAGTGTAGCTTCAAGCTAGATATCCACAGAGTAGAAAGCAGCATGGCTGTAGCTCAGTTTTCTTTATCATCTAATGACTGAAAAGAACCTTATTAGTTAGAATGTGAAACTGGATAAATTCATATAAAAAAATGTCAATCAACAATACCTGCAGCATACACCATAATTTTGCCAAGCGCATCCACCACTACTTGCAAAAACTTGTTCACTACAATTTAAAAGACGTTATAAAGTGAACAAGTCTTATAAACTAAGTCATATTAAACGGTCTTCGTGGGTTAAGAAGGAGTTCAGAACATTATTTAGGGAATAAACGATCTAAGCCAAGTCATCTCAAACAGTATTCGTAGATTAAGCAGGAGGACATGTGAATTTTGTAACTTCGATGTAAACACATTGGAAACACGAAAAATCAGCACCCTCAACTTGACGCCTGCTTGGAAAAATAAAAGATGGTGGCTGTATTTAGTGAAGCACTGATACCATTATTTCTCATCGCATTTCCCTGCCTGCAAGATGGAATCCGCCAGCTGATGGAATGCAAAGAAATCAAAAACAAAGTTTAACGTGCGCAAATATTTACGGAGAAAAATTTAATTATACCAAATCGTTTGTACTCGGAGGTATTTCTTGGTAAACGAATAAGCCGGTGATTGATGTTTATAATTCATTGGTAATTAAAATCGACGGAAACGTAAAATCGGCCGTTTTGTTTATTTATCTAACACACCCAAACAGACACATGGACTCCATGAAACCGTGCTCTTGTTATAGCTCAGTCTTTGGTATCTTCTTTGTTGTCAATCATTTGACCACAGGTGTAGAAATGGGATTATAATTTATATTATTTTAGGTATTCAGTTGGATTCAACAAATTTGAATAGATTAGGAGCCAAACCTATATGTTTTCATTGCATGGTTTGTTGCCAAAACTTTTTCATACTTTGTTAATTTTCCTATCCCATTGTCTACCACAGTGACAAGAAAATACATCCCAGTCTTTTCTCTGGAATGTAATCAATCACACTGTATTCACGCGCAGCAAGACAAATATTACCTGTGTGATGTGAATCGCTCAGTTAGGTATTGTTGATAAACAGGAACAAATTAAATAAGGCAAATAAACGAAAGTAATTATTTATTAACGGTACATCATATGCACACGCAACCTCATGTGGACAGTGGTCACATATCTGGACCGTTTGCGACGCCATTGCCAATCTCCGACACGCCTCGACATGAATCTGCTGCCATCTTCCAAGGAAGCTCGTAACTCAGCCTGGAAAAAGCTGGAGCATTTCTCGACGCGCCAGAATGAAAATAAATACCCGAACAGCTGGCGGAATCGGTCAGACACAGTCGAGCCAGCGGACAGGGAATGCGGAATTACGAGTTAGTCAAAAATTTGTTATAAATTGGTCGCAAATGTTATAAGTTATAAGTTAGCAGTAATAAATTAGACTTTGAACAGTAAAACGATACAAATATTTGATCTCATTCAGTTCAAACTACTCTTTGCAATTCACGTAAACCTTCACCATTTTCGGCAATCGTGAACTTGCATCTGACTACGTAATCTTGGTTGCAAACAAATCGTACACTAGCTCCTTCTGCCTAGTCCGAAAGTGTTGATTTTTTCCAAGATGTGCATATACGATGACCTCATTCATATTTCCAGAGCATTATCAATTTGCTAACATGAAAATCCTAATAACACTTTTGTGCCGGTAGTGCATATCTCCCCCTCGCACACTTTACGATGCATTATGATATCTGAAGATCAGTGGAATTTTCATTAATTTGCATTAATTAATAAAGTTGCCAGCCTTTCACCGAGAAAGCGTTAATCCCCTTCGGTAAATGATTTGCGGTTGGGGTGGCCTTCTCCACGAAACAATGACGCAGTTTGCATACTTCCTTTTATCCCATTCAACCACGGTGGCTTCCACCGTTGGGGCACTGTCGGCATAGTCCAAGACTGAGAGGCTTTGTCGCATTAGAATCAATCAATACGGAGATTCTAATGAAAAAATCCGCAGTCAGTAAAGAATGATCTGAACAGATACAGTCTACCGGTAAAATAATGACCCCGCGGGAATATGATGTACAAGGAAAATAGGGGACAATAGACAACAGTCGCCTAGAGAGACATGTTTTCTAGGTCGTCACTGTCAAGAGTCGTTGCAAGTTATATGCCATATTCATCTCGATTTTACATGGATACAAGAAATATAGAAATGGAAATACTGAAATACGGATAATTTTAGATATGCCTAGAGAGCGAAGAACTTTTAAAGACTGGCCGCATTACTATGCACTACACTCAGGCTGAAAAAATATTTATACTACCGAATACTGCTTAACAGAGCACCGAGTCAGCCTAATTGACTACATTTTTGGTCTATTTCGTAGAAAGTAGACTTTAGATGAAGTAATACATCTCGACTTTACTGCAGGGCCAGCTCAATACCATCTTTGATGGAAAATGATATACAGGGTGGCGCATCGAAAATGAAACAGATGCATTCACTGGCAGCTCAGTTTTTTTTTTGGAAAAACGCTCAGACCCGTCGATTTTTTTTTGAGGGGGTGACAAGTTGTGACACCAACCCTAAAATCTTAAATGGAAAGGGGGGTCGAGTGATACCTTATTTTAAAGGTCTTTCAATTCCCTTTATAATGATGTAAAGTACATGAGCTTCAGTTCAGTAGTTTTGAAGATTTAGTGATTTAAATCTTAAAGTAGACTTTAATAGGTACATCAGATTAGTTTGTACTACTTTCAGAAGAAATCTGTTGTTGAAAATAGCTATTGGAGCGTTTTTTTGTGGCAAAAAAGTTATTTCTTGAAGAAAGATAAGGAAATATCTCGTACTTATTTTAAATAGGAATTTAGTACATAGTTTGCGATTGATTTGACCAAACTTTGTTGCTAAAATAACTTGTAACGCTTTATTACATAAATTAACCATGATATATTCCACAGCAGAAAGAGTTGAAATTATCGAAACATTTGTGCGCTAATAGAACAGCAGAAATATTTAATGAGCGACATCAGAACAGTAACGTGCATCGAAAGTATGTTTTAGAACCTGTAGCTAAATTTTGGGGAAACTGGGTCAGTCGCCAATAAAAAATGCAACATTGAAAATCCCATAAGGCACGAAGTAATAGAAGCGGGTGTTTTAGGGCAAGTTTATGTAGATTCTACGTTAAGTACCCGCAAATTGGAGACTGTGTGTGTTGTTAGTCGACGTACTGTCCAACGGATTCTAAAGGCCCATAGTTTCCATCCGTATAAAATTCACCTGGTACAAGAACTTAATGAAGACGATTTTGATCGGCGATTACAATTTTGTGAAGATATGAGTGAACGAATTATAAACGATGAATATTTTATATTCAACACTTGCTTTTCCGATGAATTTTCCTTTTTCTTAAATGGCGTAGTAAATCGTCATAGCTGCCGATATTGGTCCGATTCTAATCCCAGAATTTATCGTGAGGTTCATACACAGCAGCCACAAAAATTAAATGTTTGGGCTAGTATTTTTGGCGATCATTTAGTAAGTCATTTTTTCTTACCTGGAAATTTGACCGGTAAAATGTATTTGGAATTACTAGAAGACGTGATAGATCCTGCATTAGCAGTCATAATTGAAAATCAGAATTGCGAATAGGTTGATGTTCCAACAGGATGGTGCTCCACCACATTACGCATTACGTGTTCGACAATATTTAGATCAGACATTTCCAAATCGATGGATTGGTAGAAGAGGTGACATTAAATGGCCCCCAAGATCGCCAGATTTATCACCTTTGGATTTCGTTATGTGGGGTCATTTAAAAAGCAAAATCTATGCTACTTAGCCAACATCATTAGAAGACCTGCGACAAAGAATTGTCTTCTCAAATATTGCAAAATGTGCGGCAGCGTTTTGAGCAAAATTTTTATTATTGCATGGAGAGTACATTTACTTGCCTAACGGGTCAGTTCATTCTTCATTTTTTAATTACTTTGCTGCCAAATATATTGATCTCCACTAATGATGATGTATTAGTTTTATTTAAGCTTTAAATCAATAAATCTTCAAAACTACTCAACTGAAGCACATTAATCATTAAGTTCATGTATTTTACATCATTATAAAGGGAATTGAAAGACCTTTAAAATAAGGTATCGCTCGACCACCCTTTCCATTTAAGATCTTGGGGATGGTGTCACCCCCGCTTAGGGGGCTGCACGTGCTAACGTGATTTTTTGCCAAACTTGTGTCCAACTCGAAAACAAAATCGACGGGTCTGAGAGATTTACAAAAAAAACTGAACTGCCAGTAAATGCGTCTGTTTCGTTTTCGATGCGCCACCCTGTATAATACAATACAATGTATTTGTTATTGATCAGACAATAACAATTTGTACGGAATTCGTCACAAGAAGAAGGATAAGTGTATAAGTAAAAAGCAGATAAATACATACACAAAAACAAATAAATAGTACACATTGAAATTTTACGTTGAATCCATAAACGATACTAGAATGAGATCAAATCAAAATAAGACAGCGCAAAGCGCCATCTATCACTCCAGAACCAAAAATGCGGAAAGCGCATAGATGCTATTGGTTCATTACGAGTAGTAGCATCATGCTTAAGATAAAATCAAACTCGGAATGCAGACCCTCTCACAGTGGTTTAGCGGTAAATTGAATTATGTAAGTACAATTATTATAGCATGAGCAGTAATTTGGTGTTGTCATGTTCGGCCTTCTGAGAGCCCGGTTGACCATTGGAATTTCCATATTCAGCATGGTGCAGGATCAAGTTTCAGCTTGTTTCCGTCATGCTTCTATTTAAGATAATTTTCTGAGAAATCTGGATCGGTAAATGAGAGACATTTTTATAAATCTTTATTGATGTCATATACTGAATTTTATCTAGTTCTATTTTCGGCTTTTTGAGCTTCTTCATCAATCTGCCGATTTGCAGAGTAATACCATGAATACGTATACTAAGTGACATATAAATCCGAACACCCAGTTTAAATGGTTTTATTTTAATAAAATTTTGTATAAGTACTTAATGAAGCATAATAAGTAAATGATAAAAAATTCAAAATGATTGCACTGCTTTAAAGCCATTTGACCTTTAATAATGTGTGGATGCACCCTGATGTGCTACGCATTCTCCAACGCGCCTAGGCATGCTTCTGATCAGGTGGTCAATGTCCTCCTGTGGTATCTCATTCCAGGCAACCACCAAATCCTCTCGAAGTGCTTCTAAAGTCTGAGGAGGACGTTGCAAATTGAGCAATCTCCTACCCATCATATCCCACACGTGCTCAATTGGGGATAAGTCGGGAGATCTTGGTGGCCATGGTAACAATGTGACATCATTATGTTGAAAGAAGTCTATTGTGACTCTTGCAACATGTGGTCGGGCATTATCTTGTTGGAAAGTTGGATCTGCCAGGGTGTCAAGATAGGGTAAAAGATAGGGTTCTAGAACTTCGTGGATATAACGCTGCGCGTTCATGTTATCTCTGATGAAGATTAAAGGTGACCTGGAACCATAAGCTATAGCACCCCAAACCATAACTCCAACAGTGTGATGAACATGTCTTTCAACAAAAAACTGTGGAATTCCTCCTTTCACCATGTCGCCTTCTAACCCTGGCACGACCATCGTGCATGCCTAAACAAAATCGAGACTCGTCATTAAAGACAATACTGTTCCATTCCTGATCCCAGAGTGACCGTTGTCTGCACCACTCAAGGCGATTACGTCGGTGTTCTCGAGTTAAAGGGAGGACCCAGTGTGGCCGGTATGAAAACAAGCCAAAACTTCTCATTCGTCGGTAAACACTTCGCATGCCAATAGGTCTTCCGTGTTCTGCAAACCATTCATTTGCAATGGACCTGGTAGTGGAGAAACGGTCCCTTAAGGCCAATAATCTTAGGCGGCGATCTTCACGGTCTGTTGTTCTACGGCGGCGTCCAGTGCCCCTTGCTCTTTGCGTACGGCCTTCTCGAAGCCATGCCTGACAACACCTAACCACAGTGTCTACACTTCTTTGCACTCTAACTGCAATTGCCCGAAAAGAAAGTCCAGATTCTCGAAGTCTCACTATATGGCCCCTACTAAACTCACTAAGTTGACGAAATCGTACAAGTCTCCGTACTCTAGGCATCGTAACCGATCGTAAAGGATGTCAAGAACCAAAATCCGCCAACGTTGATTCTTTACTGCGGCTGAAATATTCATTTTTAGAGCGTTGGTGAATTAAAAAAAAAACAGTATAAAAACCGGAATGTCCAACAAATTTTTTCACTAACTTGTTATTTACAGTAAGATAAATACATTCACCAACTTTTATTAAAATAAAACCATTTAAACTGGGTGTTCGGATTTATATGTCACTTAGTATATTTTTCCCCTGGTTCTGTAGTAAATTTTTTGATTTTTGCATCAAGCGTAGTTTGTGTCTCTTATCAAAGTTTCCCAAGATTATCCTTATAACTTTTAAGAGAATACATTTTAGTGCAAAACATACGAAAGCAGGAGTCAATACTGGAGAAAATAAAAAAATGGTAAGCAATAATTTTTTTTAGTATTGAAAGCACACATTGAACAAACTACTAAAAAATCAACTTCAAAGCCTGCACCATTTCTAAACCTCATGTCGAGGAAGGCTCACAATATTTCTATTATGCCAGTTATGACCTTTTTACACTTAAAGCAAAGTAAAAACGCCATTGGTATCGGAGATGATGAAGAAAAACAATTGATACACAAGATGATGACTAAATCAAATGACAATTATTGATGCAAACAACAAAAAAGCGTTTGGATAACGAAATACGTATTAATACGGAATATCAAGTACGTTAAGTCAACTTGAACTGATTGTGTTGGGTCTTGTAGGTAGTTTCGTTTACATGTATCATAAACATACTGACGCACTTACGAATCGTTGAAGAAAGACAACTTCTCTTTTGGACCTTTCTTGACGCTTGACCACCGGACGGGCAAGAAATCCTTCCAACCTTAATTCAACCTTCACTCAACCATCGCCTCTAAAGCCGATCACCTGTCTACAACGTAAACATCCTACCTACCGCTTCACCGCATGTTTCCAGACATTCCACACGCTTGATGACGCGTCCCGATGCTACAGACGGGCATCGCGACGCCTCTCATGACCGTCAGTTGGCGTCGGTCGTCAGTTTTTCCATAGCAGTCCATTCATCATTGCCTGTCAGAGCGTTTCGTCTCGGTTAAGTTTTTGTAGGTCGGTGAGTCTGTCAGGATACCAGACAAGTTCGGGGAGGAAGGAAAGAACGGGACGAGCCAAGAGTTGGACCATTTTCATGACCGGTGCTGTGGGGACCATAACTGCTGTCATCGCCGGACCTCCCTCCGCAGTCGGAACGGTCAACTGTGGAACTGTCAACTGCAGTATGGTGAACTCTGTCGACGCTGGTTCGACGGAGCACTTCTTGGACCCAGTCGACCAGGCGTATCATGACTCGCTTCAGGTTAGTTTTGAGATTTTCAGCAATCACAAAAAGGCTTCTGAATAAGCTACACGAAATTTAACATGTAACTGACACCGTAAATGTACGAAAACTGAACGCTTCTTTATCACCAAGCAATACACGCAACCACTACAAAAATTTAACAAAAAAACCTGACCATTTTATCACTTGTTGTTCATGGCAAGATAAATCGATATATAAGAAATTCTTCTAATAAACATACGCAGGTGTTTACCTTTTTTGTCACTCAACATATATTGCAAGGGAAAAATTTAACATTGCCTATAACACTGGACAACAAATTTTAGTTTTTTAATGGTATCTTGTGGGAAAAGTGCACTTCTTTGTTAATTTTGGGGCGCTGAATCCAAAAATGACAATGAAATAAAAAAATTAGTTGCGGTTTAGAAAAAAAACTTTTTATTTTTAAGGATATATTAAAAAAAGTAACAAGATTCATATACTTATAAGAATCACTATATGTGCTGTCTTTTTGCTGTTCTTTTATGGATCGTTTCTGGAGCATCTCTACCAAGAGTCCAACAGTAGTCTGCAAGCATGGAAGAATTCCACTTGTCCTGGTACCTTTTTTCCATTGTTGAAATATCCTGATGAAAACGTTCGGCGTGCTCATCACTTACGGCTCCGCAATTGTCAGGAAAAAAGTCCAGGTGTGAGTGTAGGAAATGTATCTTAAGAGACATATTACAGCCCATCTTTTGATACGATGACAGCATATTTTTGACAAGGGTTTTATAGTTGTCAGCTTTTCTATTTCCCAAGAAATTAGTGACCACCAGACGGAAATCATTCCAAGCAGTTTTTTCAATACCTGTTAAAGTGTTTTCAAACTGTGTATCGTTCAAAATATTTCGAATCTGTGGCCCAACAAAAATACCTTCTTTAACCTTTGCCTCACTTAGTCTTGTAAATTTCTGACGCAGGTATTGAAAAGCTGACCCATCTCTATCTAATGCCTTGACAAATTTTTTTATTAGGCCCAACTTGATATGCAGTGGTGGTAATAAAATTTTTTTCGAATCTACTAATGGCATATGCTGTACATTTTTTTGACCTGGCTCTAGGAATTGACGAGCAGGCCAGTTTTGTCTGGTGTAATGAAGTGCCTTTGCCCGACTGTCCCATTCACACAAAAAACAGCAAAACTTTGTGTAGCCTAACTGCAGCCCAAGTAAAAGTGCAACAACTTTCAAATCGCCACAAATATGCCATTGGTGCTCATCGTATTTTATGCATGTCAATAGGTACTTCATATTGTCATATGATTCTTTCATGTGAACTGCATACCCTACAGGAAGAGATGGTAAAATATTTCCCATATGCAATAACACTGCCTTTAAACTCAATGTTGAACTGTCTATAAACAATCTCCATTCTTCTGGGTTATAGTTTATATTTAAAACCGCCAGTAAGCCGTTCATGTTACTGCAGAAAACCAAGTTATTCTCCATATTGAAAAATGGTCTTTGTGGCGTTTACGAAAAACACATACCGAAACATCGTCTTCTAACAAGTTCCACTGCTGCAGCCTTGATCCAAGTAACTCTGCCTTACATTTTGGAAGTTCTAAATCTCTTACAAGATCATTTAATTCTGACTGTGTTATTTTGTGCGGTTGGTGGCATGACGTGCTCGGTATAAAATCAGGATCTCTTGACGTTGATGGCATATCTTCTTCCTGACGAATCACTCGATCGCCATGATCTGATTCGTTTTCTGATTCGCAAGTGTAGGATTCTGGGGGTTTTGGAATAGGATTTTCGTCACTGTGAGGCACAGGTCTGATCGCAGATGGTATGTTTGGGTAGTTAATAACCGATTTTTTTTTCTTGGACATACCTGTGGCTTGTAGGCACTCTCCAAACCATTGGGACAGCAAAGCGCATAGACCGTTTTTTGCCATTTAACCAGCTCCTCAGACTTGAAGCACATGTATTACAGCAGATGTGGGGTGCCCACTGTTTGTCTTGATCACCTAGGTTACAACCGAAATAAAGCTGATATGCCTTTGTTATTAGTGCACGTGCATTGTTGTGAATTACAGTATATTAACACTGTCACAGCAGGAACACATATAATTACCGTATCTCTAAAACTTGAACTAATATTGAAAAAATAAGTTTCATTCCGGTATTAGCACATTAAAAATAGTAATATTTTGTTGATTTTATTTAGGATATTTTTTGGCTGTTGATCAGTGTAATTTTTCAGCAAGTCAATTCAAACTTTTCAACTTTTAATATAGTATTGTGGCATACAGAATATGTCACTGTGAAGGTTTCCTTTTAAAGAATACAATATTTCACATATGTAACTAAGAAAAATAGAAAATTAGGTAATTACAATGTGAGAAAAATTTGCTTTTTACTCTAATATCATGGTACGATACGGTACAATATTATTCCTTGGTACATGAGCAATTTGTCTAAATTGTAAGAGCAAATACGAGCCCCTTCCCACTTCAGTTGGCTCACTTCAAGATTTGTACCAAAATATGCCTTTATAGACTAAAAATGACGAAACTATTTACTTCTAAAACAATTTATTTTCTCAAAAACATTTTAGATACACTCTAGTCGTAAAAAATACATATTTGAAGTCACTTAGACCTATAACTAACAGAACATCTGAACAAATAAACAATGTGCGAATAAATGCGCGAAGTTAACAAAGCAACAATTGAATGATTACCATTGGGTAACATCACCTTTATTTTTTATTACGGCCGAAATTCTTTGGGGCTTAGTGTTAACCAAGTTTTGGCAAAAATTTGGTGTAAAACAATCCCATATTTCTTGAAGCTTTTGTCTCAGTTCGGTGATTGTACGAGCAGGATGTTGTCGTAGAACCTTTTTCATCTCGTGCCACAAAGTTTCAATAGGTGACAGATCTGGACTGCTAGAAACCCATTTCAAAAGTGGTACATTATTTTCTTCCATCCATTTTATAGCCTTTATTGAGGTATGGCACGCTGCACCATGTTGCTGAAACACAGAATCTTGGCCGGGTGTCAAACATTCTTCCATCTCTGGTAAAAGCGATTCTTCTAAAATAGCCAAATATTTGTTTGTTATCCACATTACCATCAATAAAATGAAGTTTTCCTACTCCTTTTGATGACATACTGCCCCAGACCATAATGGATGCTGGAAATTTCACTTTTCTCTTCAGACAGTCAACATGGAATGCTTCATTTTTTTGCAAATAACTCTACTGCGACTGTCACCAACACAAACATCGAATCGGGCCTCATCACTCCATTGTATTGCACACCATTGTTGAGGTGGCCATTGGCTATGTTCTTTAGCCCATCTAAGCCGATTTTTCTTTTGCAGTGGAGTTAATAGAGGCTTTTCTTTGGCCTATAAACAAGTTGTGCAACTTTTGGGTTTTTGCTTCACTTTTTTTTTTATAAGAAAACTAACCTTGCAAGTGCTAAATCCCAGTTTGTGGGCCTCTTTATGAGTTGCGGACCTCGAAATTCTCCTTCCAACAGCGTCACTCCACAGAGCACTTAATTGTAAAAAATTGGCACGCCTGTTTATCACGATTATTCTTCTTAATGCTCTTCGGTCGGCATTTGTGATATTACTTTTTTTCACATATCGTAGCTTAATATTAACTGAACCAGTTACGTTATATATTTTAACAATATTTCTTACACTGTACGGCGATAAGTTTAACAAAGTCGCAATTTCTGAGTTTGATTTCCCAGAATAAAAAAACTTAATTATCAGTAACCGAATTTTCTCACTAATAACCTCTCCTCTACCCGTTTTGAAAACCTTAACTACCCAAAACTATTTTAAACGTATTCTGACAGCTGTGATTAATAAAAACAATTGTCATGGCTTTTATTTTTCACAGCCACCTATGCTGCGTTATAGACTTATTTTGCATTGAAATGAAAATAGGTTGATATGCTGTAATTGCAACATGTGTTATTTTTATGATGCAAATGAGTGCAAGTGAGTGACAAAGTTGGTGTTTTCTACTATATATTATCAAAATATTCATTGTTAATATTTTAAACCTATAACACCCTGCTACATTTTTATTATATGCGTTTGATAAGATAAAACTAAGATTTCAATAGTTGGGCCAACTGGAGTGGGAAGGGGCTCGTACATTTACTGTTATCTATACCTGAAAGAACGTTGTAAAGTTACTTCTTAGAGCCTTTCAGCATTAGAATATAACGTTATGATAGTGAAGTTGATAAATTCATAATGAATTATTACCAGGAATAACCTTCTCAAGAATATAAAAACTGCCTATGTATAAAGCATGTACAAGAAGTAATCTCTGTCGCACATTGCAAAAATCTTAATATATCTTTGGATAAAAATAAAATAAATAAATACAATAAAGTAACAAAAACATGAGATCCCCAGGGATGTGCATATAAATATAAATAAATATAATAACTATTCTATTCAGATTCTCCTGGATCATTTACGTCACTAAAAGTCAAACTGTCATGGAATACTTGAACATCTCTGAGATTGTATTTGCAATGAACATAAGGTGATTATATTAATTTTTTTTTCTAACGACAAAGGGTAAAAACATGCGTCGGTACATATATTTCCAAAAAACTCTGTCGAGTTCCATTACTTGATTAAAAAATTGTAACAGATGAATAATTTACTATGCGTACCTTACGGTATCGCGCCTAGTATTGGATAAGAGAAAAGGTTTTTGGACCTATTTATACTTTAAGCTGTGCTTACTTGCATCTAAGCTCAGGTACAAGTGTTTTCTTTGCTGAACATGCACTGTAAGCGTACAATGAACAATACATAAGAAGGTAAATTGTCATCATTGTTGAGAATGCAACATTCTTTAGGACTATATGTGTAATATGTAGAATACATAAATACTATCTAAAACTTCCACAAAAAAATTATTTAGAACCTGACACTACAAGAACAAGGGGAAAACAAGTCACGAACCCCGCAAGTCTAAAAAGACAGTGGAGTGTCTTGATAAATGAATCTCGTGATAGAAAAAAGGGCGGTGATGATAGGATAGGACTTTTTTATCAGCAGTCTACTGAAACGATAAGTAATAATTTTTTTGTTAGGTCCGACATAAGACGCTGGATATAGTGTTTATCTGTTTCCCCATAAATACGAGGGATGTCTCTTAAGTTTCGCATATGGAAATAAAACAACACGGTAGGTAGCTTTAAATGACTTTATTGTTTTTCGAAGTATTCTCCACGAAGGTTAATACACATCTGCATGCGCTCAAACCAACTTTCGAAGCATCATCAATATTCTACGAGGATGTCACCATTGAAGAGATCGTGGAAGTAATCAGCAGCCTTACAAATAAAAGAAGCAGTGGAAATGATGGAATTTCAACGCGTGTGATAAAGTTTGTAAAACGTGAAATATCTTCCCCCCTATCAGTCCCTATTAATAAATTAGTGAAGCAAGGTAAATTCCCGAAATGCTTGAAACTAGCTATTGTTATTCCCGTATACAAAAAGGGTGACCGTACAGACCTTGAAAACTACAGACCAATATCACATTTATCGATGATCTCTAAAGTCATTGAAAAATGTCTGTATAAACGTATATTATGTTTTCTCAATCACTATAATGTCTTATCAGATACCCAGCATGGGTTTAGACCCTCACGGTCTATAGAAACGGCGACCTTTGACTTTTTTTCCATATATATAGAGAAGTAGACGAAAACAGATACGTTGCTGGACTATTTTTTGACCTTTCGAAAGCATTCGATATCATGGATATTTCGTTTATCGTGGAAAAATTGTACTGCTTAGGTATAAGGGATTTTATTCTCAGCTGGATCCAGTCTTTCCTCACAGATAGAAAATTGAAAACGAAGGTCAATGGTCATACGTCAACTCAATATTCCGTGAATATAGGTGCGGCACAAGGCTCAGTACTTGCACCACTGCTCTTCATTGTATACATAAATGACTTGAAATTGTCTGGCTTCATGATTAATTATGCGGAGGACACATCTATCGTGGTCAGTGCCACGACACCGCAGGATCTTCTCGAATCTATTGAGAAAGTCAAAAGTGAAATGAGCAAGTGGTACCAGTCTAACCGCCTCATTTTGAATGAAGATAAGACTGTTGAAATTCATTTCTTCAACAAGAAACCACGCATGGATATTGATAGCTTTTCAGATCAAACTGTCTTCTTAGGAACTCATGTTGATAGTAAGTTAAGCTGGCAACCACAAATAAATCACATTTGCAACAAAATTAACAGTGCTTATTTTGCAATATTGAAATTAAAGCCTAACATCCATCTAAACTCACCCTTAGATATGTACTACGCGCTAGTTTATTCTTACCTCACCAACAATATAATCATATGGGGACAGGCAACAATGATTAACAGATTATTCATCCTGCAGAAAAGAGTACTTCGATTAATTTTTAATATTAATAAGAGGGACTCTTTTAAAGAAATATTTAGGCGCTATAATCTGCTTACATTAACTTCCATCTATATCTACAAATTTGCCATCTTCGCATTTGAACATAGCAATAGATTTGTTCGTAACAACGCCATTAATAGTCAATACAACATTAGAATAGGGCATGATCTGAGTATACCGAGACATAACTCTGCCCTATTCCAAAAATCTCCCACTCTAGCGTGCACTAAGGTATACAATAATCTGCCGAGTGAGTTGCGGAGAAGCACTAATATCCTTGCGCTGAAAAAACATCTCAGGAAATATCTGGTTGAAAAATGCTATTACTCTCTACATGAGTTTTACTAACACATGAAAGTATCTGTTTTTTAAATTCTTTTAAGCTGTTAATCATTTCGTGATCAGTGAATTATCTATTATCGTGGAGTAAATGTATTTTAATTTCACTTTTTATTTGAGTTTTAACGATAGTATGTATGTTTTCTTTTTAAGCTTTTAACCATTTGTCCTCACTGCTCGATGTTTATTGTGTTTATATATTATGTATTTCTAACAGATTCTCCTACCGCTTTTCTTTTCTTTGTATCAGCTTCAATGATTTTTACCGGCTAGACGAACATTTTTTGTGATAAAAAAAGTCGCTGTATATGTATATATTTTTACCGTTACAGATTGAACACATTACGATTCTTGCACTGTACCTGTACCTATAATGTGATTTAACCTTTTAAAATGTTTTGTAATTGTAATGTCCTTATTTATTTTATAATTATAAGTATTTTTCTGGCATATTTGCTCAAACGCATATATGACCCTCAAATTGATATTGACAAGTCTTATATCATGTAACATGATCCAATAGGACAATAAACTATCTATCTATCTATCTATCTACTTATTCCAATCGTTTGCTGGCAGATCCAAAACGGCATTTTTGAATGCGTCAACTGCTTCTTCTGGTGAGTGGAATCTTTGACCACGCAGTCTGTTTTTAATTTTCGGGAAAGTAAAGAAATCGTTAGGAGTTAGATCGGGACTATATGGAGGATGGTCCAATAATTCCACGTTTTCTTCCGTTAAATACTGCCTTGTTTTTTAGGCTGTGTGCGAGCGTGCATTGTCTTGGTGGAGGATGATTCTTCTTTCGTGGCTGATTTTTCGAAGCTCGGTGATGACATTTGGCAAACCAATGATGGTATACGAATGCGCAGTAACAGTTCTTTACCCATTAAGAGAGACTGTTGCAATATGATCTGCTTTTGACACAAATGTCGAGACCATATTTTTCGAAACACTTCGAGAACGGATGATTTTTGTTGGCTTTTCTTCACCTTGGAACACCCAAACAGCCGACTGTCGTTTATTTTGTGGTTCATAACAGTAAATCCACGATTCATCGCCACTAACAATGCTGTACACATTTTTTGAGTTTCTGGAATTGAAACGGTTAAGCGTTTTTTGACACCAATTAACCCTGGCTGCTTTCTGCTCTTCAGTCAACAGGTGGGGTATCCAACGAGAAACGAATTTTCTTACTCTTAATTCTTCATGTAAAATTTTTTGAAATGAGGTCTTTGAGATCTTCAAGGACGCCTCAATTTCGCGATATGCCACATGTCTATCTTCAATGATGAGTTTGCGCACAGCACCGACGTTTTCCTGGGTGACTGCCGTTTTTGGTGCACCCAGCCTGGAATCGTCGCTAAGACTCACCCGTCCACGTTTGAATTCTCCATACCAACGGGAAATTGTCGACTGATGAGGCGCTTCGTTGCCGAAAACAAACAGTAACTCAACAAGGCATTCTTGTTGCAATAATACACGTCTCTGAAAGTTGTAATAAATTATGGCGCGAAAATGTTCTCGGTTGAGTTCCATTTTTCTAATGCCTTGGTGACACTTAAGAGTTCATTGTAGTGAGAACACTGCACGCATTGTTGTGAAACTTTGAATTTAAGTTTACTAAAGAGTGACGTTGAGATTCAGTACTGACGTTCGATCCGCGCGGCCTACTATGCTTCTATATGCAAAACTTAAGAGACATTCCTCGTATCTTGGAGACCTAAAAGAAAAAATCATAACTGTCCACCCAAAATTAGTGCGATTTGACTACTTAAAACCAGGAAACAGATACAAAAAACTTTCGGTTCTTGCCTCGAAATACGTTTGTGCTCGTTTTATGGCACTTGAACTGCTGCTGCAGATGATGAGCCAGATTTCTTTCATTGAACCTTTGTTAAGTCTTAGATCAACTGCAAGAAACCACAAAACTTATCATCGAATGTCAATATTGATCACCAACTTGTTACCACATTTTTCACAAACGTAAAACAAATATAAATGTGTATCAGCTCAGGTGGTGGAAATCAGACCGATATCATTTTTCCAATATAATTTTATCAGTATTACATAGTCAAATAAATAGTTCTCGACAAAAAGATAACGGCTGTGAATTTACATTAGGCCCAATGTTGCCAGTTATTGTTCGTAGATCGTCAAATTTTTTGGTAGACGGTAAACAAAAAAGCAAAAATATACTAGTGATTTCAAATTGAAGGGGAGGGACACTTCGCTTGAGCTTCACTCCGTTTTGAAAATTGAGCTGTTGCTCTGAAGAGTAAAGGATTGCACTAAATCCCGCTAACCGAAAAGTACCTCGCTAAAATGGCTCTGTATTTGTGCTTAATTGGATTATATCAGGACTCAGGAATAAACTATACTAAGTGACATATAAATCCGAACACCCAGTTTAAATGGTTTTATTTTAATAAAAGTTGGTGAATGTATTTATCTTACTGTAAATAACAAGTGAAAAAATTTTCAGCCTTATCAGTTGGACATTCTGGTTTTTATACTGCTTTTTTTTAATTCACTAACGCTCTAAAAATGAATATTTCAGCCGCAGTAAAGAATCAACGTTGGCGCATTTTGGTTCTTGACATCCTTTACGATCGGTTACGATGCCTAGAGTACGGAGACCTGTACGATTTCGTCAACTTAGTGAGTTTGATAGGGGCCGTATAGTGGGAATTCGGGAAGCTGGACTTTCTTTTCGGGCAATTGCAGTTAGAATGCAAAGAAGTGTAGACACTGTGGTTAGGTGTTGTCAGGCATGGCTTCGAGAAGGCCGTACGCAAAGAGCAAGGGGCACTGGACGCCGCCGTAGAACAACAGACCGTAAATATCGCCGCCTAAGATTATTGGCCTTAAGGGACCGTTTCTCCACTACCAGGTCCATGGAAGACCTATTGACATGCGAAGTGTTTACCGACGAATGAGAAGTTTTGGCTTGTTTTCATACCGGCCACCCTGGGTCCTCCCTTTAACTCGAGAACACCGACGTAATCGCCTTGAGTGGTGCAGACAACGGTCACTCTGGGATCAGGAATGGAACAGTATTGTCTTTAGTGACGAGTCTCGATTTTGTTTAGGCATGCACGATGGTCGTGCCAGGGTTAGAAGGCGACGTGGTGAAAGTAGGAGTCCACAGTTTCTTGTTGAAAGACATGTTCATCACACTGTTGGAGTTATGGTTTGGGGTGCTATAGCTTATGGTTCCAGGTCACCTTTAATCTTCATCAGAGGTAACATGAACGCGCAGCATTATATCCACCAAGTTCTAGAACCCCATCTTTTACCCTATCTTGACACCCTGGCAGATCCAACTTTCCAACAAGATAATGCCCGACCACATGTTGCAAGAGTCACAATAGACTTCTTTCAACATAATGATGTCACATTGTTACCATGGCCACCAAGATCTCCCGACTTATCCCCAATTGAGCACGTGTGGGATATGATGGATAGGAGATTGCTCAATTTGCAACGTCCTCCTCAGTTTCTAGAAGCACTTCGAGAGGAGTTGGTGGTTGCTTGGAATGAGATACCACAGGAGGACATTGACCACCTGATCAGAAGCATGCCTAGGCGCGTTGGAGAATGCGTAGCACATCAGGGTGCATCCACACATTATTAAAGGTCAAAGGGCTTTAAAGCAGTGCAATCATTTTGAAATTTTTATCATTTACTTATTATGCTTCATTAAGTACTTATACAAAATTTTATTAAAATAAAACCAGTTAAACTGGGTGTTTGGATTTTTATGTCACTTAGTATATTTAAGAATTTGAGAAGAAAATCGACATTTCGGTAGAAGTACTGAAAAATTGGTAGACCATGCCATCACTTCTGTCCTACCTGACCTTGCTCTGTCAATTCGGCCACATAGTTTCTCTTGGGCTATAATCGTTTTTCAATTTCGTCAGACGGCAACTCAATGTTAATCATTTCGTGAATGTGAGTCAAGTACAGACTATTTGGGTTGTTTATACACATCTTGCAGATGTTTTGATGGCCTGAAGTCGGCGATTCAGACAAAAATAATCATTCGGATAGATGCAGAAGCGTATCGAAACATCATTTTTCTGAAAGCTCGAGGCGTTAAGTAGATTGACTTGACCTAGCTCTAATTTATTCTACTGTTGACGTCAATGATAGTAAAAATGATTAGTGGCTTTGAAAAGAACGCGCAATTCATCACTTAAATTGAAAAAATAATGTTTGTCAATTTTCTGAATTTCCTGTTTTTTACAGCACGCGATGCTATGGTAGTGGTATTTTTTTAATAACGAATTTATACGCGACATAACCTCGCTTTCTGTTTGAACTTGTTAGTTGTTTTCAGAAAGGGTGGACATATGATGAGTCTGATGTACATAAGTTTAAGATACAAACAAAAAAGGTCAGTCCCGTTTTACAAATCTTGAACATACGATATTTTTTGAAACGGTAAGGAATCCTGCGTCCACGTTTTTCTCTCAACGAGAATTAGTAGTAGTTATAAAGATTATTTTAGGAAAAGAAGCAATTACAAGGTGTAAACTCTAATAACACACGGAAAACCGAACAAATATACTTGTGCATGGCATTAATCAATAGTTAGAGACAGCATAACTTTTGAAAAATTCAAATATTTTAAAAGACAAAAAAAAACTGATTAACACAAAAAAATAAAACAGACACATAACGTAGTGAAAGCTAGAAGTTAGTAGAAGACCTATAACGCAAATTAATCACATTAGTATAAACACTAAGAAATTGCTAAAATATAAAATAAAACAGACAGAAAAATGGAGGCAGATTAAAAAGTATTCAATTAAAACTAGGTATCATGTCAATAAAACCTAACTTGTACGCATTCGACTATATTCAAACAGATTCATTTGAAATGGCTATAATCATTACTCAAAATGTCGGTAAGATAGTTAGATTAGCAATTACAGAAAAGTATATAACACTTAAACAAGTTAAATCACATATAGGTAGGTAAAGCACAATAATCTGAATGTGTTCATCATTGAAGTGTATACAAGAAGAGTAGGAGAATTTTTTCGTAATAGATATAAATTCAACAAACATTGAGCAATGAGTACAGAAGCCTAAAAAGAAATCTTTGCACATATCAGAAAAGACCAAATTAATGATGTATTTGTGAATGCAGTAGATACCAAACCAGGAAGACAATCAATATGACAACATGAAGTCATACATATTTGAATCAAAATGTGAATAAATACTGATATCACTTACATGTGTACTCCACCATAATAGACACTTCATTGATAACGAGACGAGTGACAGTTTAAAAGTATAAGAAACACGATACTGTCATAATGCTCGTGCACAACCAACTATTTTGGTTCCAATGGGCTTTTTCTGTGACTTATAAAACATGTTAACGTAAGATTATTTTGTGTAAGTCAAGTATTATGTTTTATTTTACGTTTATTATTGTACTGAAGTTAGCATTTGTATTTATTAACACGTTGTATTTTGGGAGAAATAAACGTATACTACTAGTGCTACTACCATATAGCATGTTAGTAAAACTTAAGTAGAGAGCATCATTTTTCAACCAGATATTTCCAGAGCAAGGATATTAGTACTTCTCCGCAACTTACTCAGAACAAATTTCAACAAGTGGTGTACTTGACTTTTGGTACGCTTCAGTAAAGGACCCCCCTGTTTGAAGTTGTTAGGATGATTTTAATTAAAATATCTCCATTTATGGTTTTTTAAAGCAAACAAGAACTTCTGTAAGACTACATATTTGGATATAAGCTGTTTTTGTACTTTCACAACATGCTTTTCGAAGATCGCTGATAAACCTTCTCTTAACATGGTATGGATTCGAAATAGCGTATGAATTTCTGAGAAGCTTTTAGCTCGGACAAAACTATTCAACTATGCTTTCATAGATTTATTAAAATGAAATGAACGAGACACAAAATATGACTAATTTTGAATGTTTTGGGTGCCTGAAAGTTGAGACCTTCCTTTGAACCAAGTACGCTTGGAATAGCAGAGCTGATGAGAGTTGGCCTCGGTAGCAAAAAGGTAAAAAAAATAAATAAATGAAAACGTACACATGAAAATCAAGGACGGCTTTGTGACTTATAAAACTGTTAGAAGTTGTTACCGTTGGTAAAATGTTTTGTAGAAAGTCTAGGTATTGTAAACTGGTAAAATAAAAGGTCCAATGAGCATACCCCGTTGCACGTAGAGGTTGATTCGTTCGTGACCAATATGGACCGCAACAACCACTCACAAAAACGCACTCTTGCAAAAAAATTCTAGCCCCACACCTCGACATGCCTGCGAAACGACCTGTACCTCTAGCCCTTCAAACAGGATAAAAAGAACCCCTTAATGAACTAAGCTTGGGAAAGCGATCTGCATACACTCGGGAAGCATCGGTAACATTTTGAAGACGCTCACTGTAAATTAAAACGATGTCGACAAGTTTGATATTGCTGTACGAGTGTGCAATTTTGTTTTTTTTCAACCGATTAGTATATAGAATGCTTTGTTTAACTATCCTGGCGGCACCTGGGTTGAGTACTAACGAACGTCGTGCCTTCCCAATTTTGATCTGATCGAGGTTTGATTGATTTTTTGGACCCTAATATCTCGATTATCTCAAGACGTGTATATGCTTCAAGGAACAACTTGTTATTTTGTGAAGATCGTCTAAAGGATATATTATGCAAAGTAGACACACTTTTAATTCCACTCATTTTATATGACTTAATCGTTGTGATCTATTGTTCTAGGAAGAACGTCGAAGAACGGGAAGATACTTGGCAGCAGGCTTGGTGATATTTCTAGTAATCTTAGGGTTGTACCATGCAGTACGATTTGGTTCTACAAGGTTATCAGCTCTTCTAGGAGCTGCCCTTATAATGTCCATGTACCTACTCTGGCTGTTGTATGCCTCGCATCGCAAGAAACAAGTTCTTAGGGTAAGTTGGTGACAAATGTATCCGATAAGTATGGATGGTACAATATTAAGGCGTACATAAAAATGATGAATGATTTAAAAGCGTAATACCGATTCATTTTGACGTTAAAAAATTTAAATTTATAGATAAAAATGTTTTTCCTTAAAAAATTAACAATTTTCACGCTTATAAAATTTTTTGTTGTATTTTCTTTAATTGTAAAACTAGCTAAAAGTAGCTTTCTGTCTTGATAGTCCAAAATCACAACCTATTATTTTATAGTTACGAACCTATACAGGGTGTCCGCAAAGTTGTGGTTTTCCTTTTCAGAAACAACTACCCTTGAAATAACAAAGGTAATGTGTAGTGAAACGAGGGCGACCAAGTAAAAAAAAATAAAGGAAAAAGTACTCACTCTCCAGTTGACGAGAAGGGCTAAGTACGTCTCTGCCCGAAATCATACCGCTCCAACAGAAAATGAAATCCCACGAACAGAGGTAACAAATATGACGGCGTTGCCGCGTTTTCAGTTTTTAGGTAAACGTACTTTATAGGTATTGTTCGAAGTTATCGCCGTTTGATTCAAAAACACAGGTGCGTGCACGGCGTAGCCAAGCATCAGTGCAGGCTTTGAGAATGGAGTCCCTCCCCCGAATGAAAGCACCAGCTTGTTCAATTCTGAGACGAGGTTCGTCAACCGTATGCACTTCAGTTTTGTACACTAAGCGTTTCATTTCTCCCCAAAGAAAAAAATCACATGGTGTTAAGTCTGGAGATCGCGGAGGCCACGCTACGGGTCTATTATGTCCGATCCACCTATTCGGAAATAATTCATTCAAAAACTCACGCACTTCGCGTCTAAAATGGGGCGGTGTACCATCGTGCAGAAACCACATTGATTGTCTTACACTTAATGGCACATCTTCTAACAAGGAAGGCAAAATGTTGCGTAAAAAGTATAGGTATTGCATCCCGTCCAATCGATTTGGGAGAATAAATGGTCCAATGAGCATACCGTTCGCCATGCCAGCCCAAACATTCACCGAAAATGTTTGTTGAAAATGTGCCCAACGGACAGCGTGCGGATTTTCTACTGACCAAACATGAGTGTTGCGAAAGTTATTCACCCCATTACGCGTGAACGTAGATTCGTCTGTCACCAATATGCACTTCAAAAAGTCCGGATTATTGTCATGTTGATGCAACAACCACTCACAAAACCGCACTCTTGCTGGAAAATCGTCAGGTTGAAGGGCTTGTACACGTTGGACGTGAAACGGATACAGCCCCTCTTCACGCAGCGTTTGCCACACTTTAGTTTTTGATACCTGCACTTCTCTAGCCACGTCTCTAGTGCTTGTTGTTCTTTGAAACGCAATCGATTATACGGGTTCGTTTACCTCTACACGCGTGACCGTAACCGTCGGTTGAAGGTTGCATACTGACCTGACACACTGACCCCGACCCAGTTCTGTCGTCGGGTTGAGCTAGTGTCCTAGTACCACTCGGAGACGTCGCGGGTCGCGGCTACAGGACGGTATTCAGATATTTTTGATGTTGCAGAGCCCTTTATCTCGGTTCCCTTAAAACATTGGTGTGTATGGTACTAAGAAAAATTGCTTATGTTTTCAAGATCTACACGTCGCGTCGTGTAAAGGAAAACCCCAACTTTGCGGACACCCTGTATATGACTATGATGTATAAACTGATTTTACCCGATAAAAAATGAGTATATAGTTTTGGAGCACCATTTTAATAAAATGTTTATGTTAACAATAAAGTATCTTAACCTTGAACTAATAAACTGTTGTAGGTTTACTTTAAAGCTGAATATATTTAGAATATATTTAAACTGGTCTTAGAAGTACCCATAGAGCACTTTTGAAACCTTTGGTTTTATTAACCGCTTTCACTGTTTGCCCTTTGATGCCGAAGGCGAGTCTACTACAACCTTAAGGTTCATTTAAAAACCACTTGCTTTTATTTACAGTTTTATTTCACAGTCTTAACGCATTCCTAAAGTACCTAATAAACCCGTTCCTTGCTACAAGGGTAATAATAATAATAATATTTATTACCCATTAGACATGTATAAAACATGTATGGGGTTCGTCAACAAACAATTTAAAAGTATATGCATAAAAAAACAAACAGTAAAATGACAAGCAACAACAAACAATAGCTCAAATTAAATATTTTAAAATGGACGCCATAGGCTAAAAATAGCAGATAAAATAGATCAGCTTTCCAGCAGTTAAAATTAATAAATTAACAGAAGTACAATATAAAAATATATAAAAGGACAAACAATGAGTGGATAACAAACAATACAAAAAATAAATAAATAAATAAATAAAAACGCCTTTATTTTAAACTCGGCGAAGGCCAGCTGTGCTGTTAACTTAAAAAAGGACATCTAAATATCCACAAAGTCACTGATGGGGTAACAATTTTTATTAAGAAAATATGTTCTTAACTCAGCTTTAAAATTATTTAAGGAGCTAATTTTCTTAATATACTCAGGCAGCTCATTGAATATATTTGGTCCTAAAATAGAGGAAGACCTACTACCCACCTTACATCGAGCAAATGGTAGATGAATGTCGTGCTGCCTACGAGTATTGAATGTATGTATATTACTATACTAAGTGACATATAAATCCTAACACCCAGTTTAAATGATTTTATTTTAATAAAAGTTGGTGAATGTATTTATCTTACTGTAAATAACAAGTGAAAAAAATTTCAGCATTATCAGTTAGACATTCCGGTTTTTATACTGCTTTTTTTTAATTCACTAACGCTCTAAAAATGAATATTTCAGCCGCAGTAAAGAATCAACGTTGGCGGATTTCGGTTCTTGACATCCTTTACGATCGGTTATGATGCCTAGAGTACGGAGACCTGTACGATTTCGTCAACTTAGTGAGTTTGATAGGGGCCGTATAGTGGGACTTCGGGAAGCTGGACTTTCTTTTCGGGCAATTGCAGTTAGAGTGCAAAGAAGTGTAGACACTGTGGTTAGGTGTTGTCAGGCATGGCTTCGAGAATGTCGTACGCAAAGAGCAAGGGGCACTGGACGCCGCCGTAGAACAACAGACCGTGAAGATCCCCGCCTAAGATTATTGGCCTTAAGGGACCGTTTCTCCACTACCAGGTCCATTGCAAATGAATGGTTTGCAGAACACGGAAGACCTATTGGCATGCGAAGTGTTTACCGACGATTGAGAAGTTTTGGCTTGTTTTCATACCGGCCACACTGGGTCCTCTCTTTAACTCGAGAACACCGACGTAATCGCCTTGAGTGGTGCAGACAACGGTCACTCTGGGATCAGGAATGGAACAGTATTGTCTTTAGTGACGAGTCTCGATTTTGTTTAGGCATGCACGATGGTCGTGTCAGGGTTAGAAGGCGACGTGGTGAAAGGAGGAATCCACAGTTTTCTGTTGAAAGACATGTTCATCACACTGTTGGAGTTATGGTTTGGGGTGCTATAGCTTATGGTTCCAGGTCACCTTTAATCTTCATCAGAGGTAACATGAACGCGCAACGTTATATCCACGAAGTTCTAGAACCCCATCTTTTACCCTATCTTGACACCCTGGCAGATCCAACTTTCCAACAAGATAATGCCCGACCACATGTTGCAAGAGTCACAATAGACTTCTTTCAACATAATGATGTCACATTGTTACCATGGCCACCAAGATCTCCCGACTTATCCCCAATTGAGCACGTGTGGGATATGATGGGTAGGAGATTGCTCAATTTGCAACGTCCTCCACAGACTCTAGAAGCACTTCGAGAGGAGTTGGTGGTTGCCTGGAATGAGATACCACAGGAGGACATTGACCACCTGATCAGAAGCATGCCTAGGCGCCATGGAGAATGCGTAGCACATCAGGGTGCATCCACACAGTATTAAAGGCCTTAAAGCAGTGCAATCATTTTGAAATTTTTATCATTTACTTATTATGCTTCATTAAGTACTTACTTATACAAAATTTTATTTAAATAAAACCATTTAAACTGGGTGTTCGGATTTATATGTCACTTAGTATATATTTCTATTCAAGGTGAAATGATCTCTGTTAATATACGCATATATTGCCATTTCATAAAGAAACAACGAGGGCAGTGTTAGAATTTTTAATTTCGGGAAGAAGTCTCTGCAACTGTATGGCAACTGGTATGGCGCTGCTCGTTAGTCAAGATACAGTACTGTGCTTTGGAAGCATTAAACTATACCAGGTTCTTGCGCCCCAAGCGACGGTAGCTTCCAGGTCTTTCGTCAGAGTGGAAGTCGCTGCTAGTCTCGTTCTCTCTATCTCATCAGCGGGGATCGGCTTGTTATGGCGGTTTTCCACCGAACGGACAAAACAAAAACAAAACACGAACTCATTTCGAATAAAACAAAACTTTTCGCAAAGTTCTTGAAGACTGTCGTGTTTTGCGACTGTTGGAGGTTTTTTTTCGCGTCCGTTTCGGTAGCGGTCGCATCAAAAGGATCTGTTATGTAACTCGGGCCTCTTTAGTGGAAGCGATCGTGTCATGTTTTCGATTTTCGCAATACTAGTCCGGATACGAATTTTGAACCAAATTTTATAGATAATGAATTTGTTTTGAGACGCTGGATACATTTATAAGTACATTAAGCTTAAATCACTGTCCCCAATAGCAGGGAACCTCAGTGTTACACGATCTTTATCAGAAATTGTTTGCCAAATTATGTTATTAGATCTTCAAAATCCGAAGAATACATTCTCAGAAAATTATGGGACGATCCGCGATGTTCTCCATGCAATCCAAAGTAATCGTTTCAAGATCTGTGTTTGCGTTTTCTTTGTCTCCTGAAAAATAATACTGTTTTAATCATTAGTAAATATATATATATATATATATATATGTATATATAAAATGTTATATACCTTTCTCCGCATTATCACTTTCTCTCTTTCTCTCTCTCTCTATATATGTGTGTGTATGGTTAAAGTGTTTACTGCGCTAATTTATAGACTCG